TATACTTTTAATTTTATGTTAGAAGAGCCTATTAAATTTTGAGAGATATATTTGCATTGAGGGAAATATTTCTAATGATAATATCTTTGAGAAATTAATTTTTTAAACTGTGTAAAAAATGGTCAAATTTTGATATTTTCAAATTAGCATATATTGTATAGAGAAAAATGCAAAATGACCGAATGCTGAACACTTATTATTACATTTCCATGTAAATCATTCAACATTTTGAAAAATCTTCCCATATATTCTTAAATGAGAGAAGTATTGAAAACACTTTCAAACTAAATGCAAATTATTAGTTTTATTTTTGAACTATTAACAATCTTAAAAATACTCCTTTAATTTACTTGACTAATTAAACTTCAACACACCCCTAATTTTGCAACACGAGTGAAATATACCTCTAATTTTTCATCAAGTTTAGGGGTATTTAATTTCAACACTTCTTTCGGCTTTTTATTAAGAGTTTCATGCTTCTACAAGAATTCGTGATCACTTGCTATATATGTCATATGACATATCCGGGGTGTATCTAAATTTAGTTAGTCAACTAAAGAAATATTTTTGAGGTTGTCAATAGTTTGGATACAAATCTAATAATTTTTGCGCCAAATTCAAAAGTGTTTTCAATACTTCATTCTTCTTAAATATATATATAAATTAGAATAATAAAAAGATCCAGCCTCCAAATGGCTGTCAATATTCTTTACAAAATTGAAATCTTATCTATAAATCTCTCTTATTTACTTCCCACAACGATCATAAGGTCCATATCTATTCAATATTCACACTTGCGTCAACATAATGTCCACTTCACATTCCTAGAAAATGGTTGGCTCTATATAATAATTTAATTTAAGTTACTAAATACCATAGAGCATGTGGACATTATTCAATTTCGATTTTGTACTTGATACTCTTTCCATTGACAATGATGATTTTTCACCCTTTTTTTTTTATAGTCTATCTAAATCTAAATAATATTTGGCAACCCAAAATCTAGATTATTGCTTCGCATGATGATAAAGACTTTATTTTTTCAAAAAATATGTTGGCTTAGTCTCTCATCCAACTTTTGCTTCAATAGCTAAGTTGAAGTGTTCAATGCAAAGAAACAGATTTGTGGAAAACGATGGTTAAAAAACTTCCACCACCTTTTCAGTTAAACACTTGGACACGTTTGATATAATGGATAAAGAAAGATAATTCTACAATAACTTATTTTAGAATTAATAATTAGTACTGAGATAAGTTATTTCAGTCTTTGAATAGAAAAATAATCCTAAATAACTTGTTTCGAAATAAAATAGTTAAAACGATAAAATTCCCTTCAAAATCCTTTTATACATCACTTATACATCTTTTACACTTATGAAATGTATTTTTATAAACAAACAATTTATTCATAGAAATTATGCAATGCATTCATTAAGAAATTATATCAGAATAACTAATTATAACATCACTAATTTTATCATAACTTGTATTTAAACCAAATATTGACACTCGTAACTCTCCATCATCATATTCTTTGTAACACCCCGGAAATTTTTTGAGGTAAGACTTGAACCATCCTTCGTTGTGAGTAGGATTTTATCGAGGAATTAAAATTTCTTAAATGTTAAGGTCACTAGATGTAGCACCTTGAGTTCCAAAAAGAATTAAATTGGATATAGCAAAATCTGAAATTTTGCAAGTTATGCTTAAGTTATGAGTTTTGGGTCGACTTCAAATGACCATAACTCCTAGATCAGGATGAGTTAGGTGTGCTACCAGATACCGTAGGACAGACCTTTGAATCATCTTTCCAACGCCACCAAGTTTGCTAAGTTTCGAGTTCGGATGAGTGAGATATGACCTTTTGAAGTTAGGCTGTCCAGTTAAGGAAAGTTAGCCGGAAATAGTAAAGGGTATTTTGGTCTTTTCCTTACCCAATCAGATTTAATTCATTTTTAGTAAGGTTTTAAGGGTCTAATCCTATTAGGTTCAGTTTTATAATCCTAAAATTAGCCTAGGGTTTTAGTTGAGAGTTCAAGACGAGAAAAGAAGAGAAAAGAGGAGAAAAGAGGAGAGGATCAAGTGTTCGTTGAGATTCTA